AGAGGAGAGGTTTGCAGGTCGTGAACAGGCTCCAATGATAGTTCATTGATTGGTGTGATTACTGACATTAATTCTTCCTTAGCAGAGACCATCAGGCTCCTAAATTGATTTCCTAGCTAGCAATGTAGAGGCTGCAGTCCTAGCGCCTTCGTCAGTAGATCCATATCTATAGCTCGAAGGCACCTTTTCAGCACGTGCATGCGTGTGCGCATGACACGTGCGTGTACATAGTCATCGTACATGCAGACTGATGCGTAGCTCGCGACATTACTTTTATATCCTGTTTAGAATATTCCGCGTAACGTGACAATTCCATTACAAAAGCAGCATGCGTTAGGCGAGGGCGTGAGGTTGCCGACGCTGCATGCAAGTGCTGGTTGTCACATCCACGGTGGATTTGAATGATGATGAAATCATTCATCATGGGATGCACGTACACGTAGGGGCGGGTGATGCATGCCCACGTAGGCATGATGCACGTTCATTGATTGAGGATTTTAGGTAAACATGATTTTAGATGCTTTCTGCATGGCTTTAATTGATTGGCTAGTGGAATTTAACTCATAGGTTGTTAATTGTCGTCACGACCGCCTTGCTTGTGTGGTATCTGGCCGTTGAAAAGGCCTCTCGAGATGCTGGTCGAGCGCTTTGCGCGTATTTGTCGTTGATATGTGTGCCGTACTGCGTACCAGCTACTACAGCTTGGCATGTTGGGCCAGAGGGTAGGGCAGGTAGGGAACATGCCGGTAGGAGCAACCACGTAGACGGGGAGTGGTGATGCTGGTTCATGTAACGATGTAATTTTTTGATATTCTTAATGCCGAATTGTATGTAAATGATACTATGGTCGGGGTGGGCCATCCTTAATAAATGCGTTGTCTTTGCAGTGGAGGCACGACAGGGCGATAAGGGCCTTCGTTCGTTGCATCTCAACCTCGTCATGCAAGCTTTTTAGGATAGTTGATACAGATATCTCGTACGCCAAAATGCCATTACTCTGTGTTCCAAATCTTTCCTTGTTGTGAAGCAACGGTTAGCAGTTACACCTAACGGTGACCTCACAGCAACGTGCGCCTCTGAGGATCTTAAGGCCCCGGCTTATCACGGGATCTACATCCGCCGATCGGTACTTTTCTGAAGTCGTGATATAACAGAGAATGACAGCAGAAGCGTGCGGATAGCAAGCGGGGCCTATGATATGATGTCCTGCCCCTAACACAGCATGTTCACCAATAATGCAGCCACGCAGACCACCATTACCGTGTTACAGTCGCCTAGTCGTTCCATCCTTAGTCCATTTGCTCTGGCTGGGATTGGGGCCGCATACCGCAAGGGGGGCCGCATACCGCAAGGGGGGCCGCATACCGCAAGGGGGCCCGCATACCGCAAGGGGGGCCGCATACCGCAAGGGGGGCCGCATACCGCAAGGGGGCCTGAATGACTGCGTGCGTGAAGAAAAGGAAAGAACGGTAGCACAATGTTGCCGGACGACACACAAAGCAAGACACAGTAGGCAGGCGCTGTAGTAGCTGGCCACTGAAAAGGCCTCTCGAGATGCTGGTGGTCACGCTACGCGCGTATTTGTAGAAGCCGTACTGTGTACCAGCTACTACAGGCACCAACCGGTGCAGCTTAAAGCTACCCTCGGGTCGGCCATACACGCGACGCACGCGGTACGAAACAAACAACACCTGCCGTTTACGTGAGGCGGGCAGTCCAAGGTAGGGGAAATGAAAGTGCTCAGGCCGGACCCCCAACCACTGTGGCTGCTGAGGCGGACTCCGAAGCATGCGACAAATGCTCATAGCGGATAGGACCATGTACGTGAGGTGCCTGGCGCGCAGAAGGCCTTAAAGGGTTTTATAAGAACATATTTCGAATTGAATTGTTACAGAGCGGGAGGCTTCTGGGCCACCTGAACACATGATCATTTCTACGATTTATCACTATACAGCACCATCCACTATTTCCATACTGTACTACACCGTACGAACTGGAAGTCCAAGGCGGTTGATCCTGCCTTCTAGGATCCCTCCTCATCCTTTCACCCGAACATCCGCAGGGACAGAGGGTTCAGCAATCGCCACCAATCCAGCGTGGTGCGAATCTCGATCCATCAAGCATCATAAGCACATATAGCACGATGGATCCAGAGTGCCGATTGGCCATAACCTGCTGTCGCCATCCTCCATCGTGCCCTGTAATCAGCTTTTCGGCGGTCCGTTGCGATCTGGTCTGGGGGGATTAGGACTAGTGTGTGTGTGTGGGGGGGGGGGGGGAAATGGAAGAAGGAGCAAATGCAGCCCCTGACCATGTAGGCGGATTGCCTAGGTACTGTACAGGGGCGAGTAGCTTGAAGTGCTTTACTCGCACATTAATGTACAACATTGTTTGGTGGTCAAGGTCATTGGGACCAGCTTACTAACGGTAGCATGTCGGGAGGCTCGCTTCTGTTCGTTAAGACGGACTCGTTCTAGTGCTCCTGGAAGCAAATTTAATAGAAGTGTTAACGGGCTCCAGTCATTTCCCGTCCGTTGCCGGAACCCACCAGGGTTTTCCCCAAGTTTTCCCCCCCACTTCATAGGGAAGGAGAGGTCCAACCACCCTTTCCCCCATCCATCCCCCCCCATCCATCCCCCCTCCTCCCCCCATCGTCCCTTCATGGGTTGTGCTGTCCCGAATAGCCGTACACAACGTATACGCCATGGAAATCCGCCCTGAATTGAAACCATCTCATGTGAGACGGGAGCGGGGAACCGAAGGGCTACTTGTCCCCCTTCCAAAAATAAACTCTCTTAGCCTCCAAATTACAAACTGAAGACGTTGGGTGATGACCAGCAGCAGCAAGTTGGTCGTGAAGGCACCGATGATCTTTCCTTGCTGCTTTTATGAGCACATGCATGTGATGTTATGCTGTGCTATGGCTGCGAGAGACACGGCTCCATGTACGACACACGCATCACGGTACTTGCTTACGACTAGATTTGCGTCGTTGCACCACAGACACAGCCCCATGCGCGACTCGCAAACGATTGTACGGACGCTGCTGTACGCTCAATGCTGATGGGGTGGGGGAGGGGGCCTCTGACCGACTCCCCCCATCCCCAACATTCATTAATCCCTGACCGGCCTGGCCCCTGTGGAAAAACGTTGCGTGAACACCCATTCACTCACAACAATCCATAACCCATTACTTGACGGATATGACGGCGCACATTAAACCATGCAGGCTCCCGCGTCCCGCTTGTACGACTACAAGTTACAAGTTACAAGTTACTGCAAGTTGCAAGTTACTGCAAGTTGCAAGTTACTGCAAGTTGCAAGTTACAAGTTACTGCAAGTTGCAAGTTACAAGTTACAAGTTACAAGTTGCAAGTTACTGCAAGTTGCAAGTTACAAGTTACCAGTTCCGCACAAGTGCGGGGGTGTCCGTAAAAGCCGGGGGGCCCATGGACGGTAAATCGTTTTTAGTGCGGTTACATGGTGGACCATCATCGTCCTCACTCGTCCGCTTGAGCATGAAGCGCCTTAAAGCAACGTGCCGGGTCTCCCAGACTTCCGAGAGGAACCTGGCTAGTGCCAGGGGTGGGGCCTCGGTCATAATCGTGCGCATGCTGAAAGTCAAATACGCGACAATAGCTGAAAATAAGCCCCGTGCCGCTATGCCGTTTGGAGGATTTTTGGAAACTCAAAGGACAAACATCCTCCATAACATGTCATGCATTTGCTGCCCCCGTCCATATGTATTCAGATGGAAGATGACATCTCACTGCCTTTGCCAGCTGGGATATAACAAAAACACAACGCACTGCTCGTGGTGTCGTACTCGCAGGTCATTCATTATGGCTAGTTACTAACTTGTGTATTAACTACCAATGTACACGTTGGGTTGACGAGTGCTCGGAAGTAAAGGTGGATAGGTCCAAATAAACTACTGCAACTGAACTCCGTCCTGCTGCCAAAACAGGAAAGCCTATTGACGAAAGCGGCGTCAGTTAAGAAAAGTTTTCGCAATTCCATGCTTCTCCAGGGCGTATCGTTTTGAACATGTTGGGATGATGATGATGATGATGATGATGATGATGATGATGATGTTCCTGCATGCCATTCGTAATTACTCAGCCATGCATGTTTGTGACTGCAGAATCGGTTGGCCTACATTTGTACGTGGTTAAAATGAATGATTTATTGTGATTACCTAGAACATAATACAGGACACCGCCATGCGCTATTTGAAAAAGGACGCTTAGTCGGTATACTGCCACTGCTCGTGCCCTTCCTACCCTTCCCGTGAAAAGTGATGGGTGACCATCTCACGCCATTACAATATAACTTATTATTTGTTTCTAATTATTATTTTCAGCCAGCCCGTGGGATTGTCTGGTGCTACCCGCGAAATGCTGCATCGATTATGCGTGGCGGGCGCCATTTTTCCAGCTACCTAAAAATTAAGGAACTAATATCTAAGATAAATTGTATATGTAGAAACGTACGTGACGACAAGCACACCGCGGAGGAACATACATATGTCACGAATCGTCGATAACGCAAATTCTTAGCTCACCAGCTGCCTAAATCCTGCATTGTATGTTAATTATAATATTTTATATCATATATTGCCCACTGATGTCTGCTGCTGTTAGTGAACTGCCCGTTGTGCACAGCACAAAGTATGTTGCACCAGCCCGTTCGCACAGGTCCAGTCCGTACAATGAGTGTAGTAGGGTAAAGCGATACAGTATAAAGGCTGGCGTCTTACCACATTCAGTAGTATCCAAAACATTTAAATTCGTAAAACCAGACCAGCAATCAAGCTGTTTACTAACATATAGCTTGTAACAAGCTGTAACGTTGAGCGAATTGCCTTACTTCTGTATAGAGGAGTCGAACGCTTACCACTCCATTGGTAGAACAGAAGCTGCTTGAAAGCCAGCTGCACAAACATTCTCTAGCTCCATCGTGCCTGAGTGCTGCGCAGTTATTAGCTTACACGCACCGGACTGCGTTAATTTTACAACTTCATTTGCTCGCTGGAGGACATAGATAGAGCACAATGAGGTGCCTGGCTGTCCTTGTCCTCCTCGTGTTGCAAGCCGGAGGTAAGCTTTCTGCAAGCAACACATCGTGTTTTTTTACCTAGATGAATGGTGCTAACCACGCCTCTCGCTCCACCCCATCAACAGTTGGCCTCGGGTCCACTGACGGAGAACTCAGAGGAGCAGGGGAAAATCTGATCGTAAACGCCGATTCAACCTCCATTAAACCTACACAGCCATCATCGTTGCTACCGCCACCACCGCCACCACCCCCACCACCGCCACCACCGCCGCGGAAGTTCTATTCGTTTGGTCCCCTCGTCTGGTGTTATTTTAACTTCCCCCAATGGCCAGACATGCCCGAAATGCCGCCTAGCCCAGCCCAGCCCTCCAGCCCTGCTGGCTTTGCGGGAAGGGACACGGCAGCATTTGAATCCCCTTCTCAACCGCCATCACCGCGCAAGACCGCCACCAAGGCAGTTCAACAAAAGGCCCCCAGCACCAAGCCTCCACCGTCCCCGAAGATGCGGCCACCGCCACGTCTGCCCTCGCCACCCCCGCCTCCAAGCCCCCCACCACCCAGCCCCAAGCCTCCAAGCCCTAGCCGCAGCCCGCCCAGGCCTCGGAGCTCGCAGCCCACCTCTCGACCGGCAACTGGGTCACCTGCACCAAAGGTAAGGATCCAAGCAAGGTGTATTGAGGTGTATCGCCTGCTGCCGCCTGTACCTCGTTGCAAATGCGTGAAAACTGCCCTGCCATCCTTGCACTCTGATTCGCTGCAGCTTCGCTGCCTATCCGCCTCATTTACCTTCTTCCCCGCCCCTTCTTCCCCGCCCCTGGCTGATCCCCGCCCTTGCAGGCCTCCCGCCGCTTGCTCCGACTGTAGGCATCCGATGGCGGCCATTAGACACAGTGCTATGCGCATGCCCTTGTGGATGCGTGACGAGGCATGCACAGGTCACGTCGCTGCCGCTGTCGCTCCAACAGGAGGTTGTTGTGAGCTCTGGGCCCGTCAGCCACTGTATATAGGGGCGCATTGACCTGCTGTTGAGCCGCGCATTTGAGGGGCGTGAGCGAGAGGAAAGGAGCTCAGATCTTGAACAGGCTCCAATAATAGCTCGTTGATTGGTGTGATTACTGACATTAATTCTTCCTTAGCAGAGACCATCAGGCTCCTAAATTGATTTCCTAGCTAGCATGGTAGAGGCTGCAATCCTAGCGCCTCCGCCAGTAGATCCATATATACATTTCGAACGAACCTTTTCAGCACGTGCATGCGTGTGCGCATGACACGTGCGTGTACATAGTCATCGCATATGCAGACTGATGCGTAGCTCGTGACATTACTTTTTAGGGGTTAATTGGTGACGCCGAGCAGTACGCCGCCGACCGCACACGACAATCCATTACTACATACAAACGACATTCATAACGGCCATGAGGTTATTAGTTGCTGCTGCAATTGGATAAGAATGGATTTATGCTTGGGGCGCTATGCCCGTCGATTGATTCTTAACATAGCTTTTGCAAGGGCTTACAAATTGTAAGCATCGCTCTAGGTGCTGCAAGCGCGTGAAGTGCGCACATAAAAATAGCAGGCGGCTGGCAGAGATTAAGGCCTGACTTCTGCTCCCCGCGCGTCCGGGTTCAAATCTGCCTGCCGACCTCTCGGGTGTGTGAGAGGTGGTGAACTGGGAGGTGGCCATCCATCTTGTGGACGGTGTAGGGCGTGATTAAATCATCTTAAGCGCTGACCAGGAACTGAGTTGACGCGCCGTTGATCCGCTAGATTTGTTTGTATGCCGGTGGTGAGTTGCCACACTCTGAAGTCGGATGGGGTGAATGGGCGGAATGGGCGGCGCGCGGGAGACACGGAGGTGACACATCGCAGCTGGAAGCAAGGCTGCGAGCGAAGAGGTGATTTGCCATGATTGGCAATATTACCTGTGTAAGGCCATGTAAATCTTGAGCGTGTTGACCCGTTGTTCCCATATATGCAATAAGAGTTTCTGCTCTCAGCAGGATTCGATATGTTGGTTTGTCTGGCGGCAGGGACGAGATAGGGTAAAGATTCTTGCCAGTATCGGAAGTACCCCGGCACCCCAAATCCTTTTGAACAAACTTCACTCTTATCATTATTTAGTAGTGCCTAATAATATGTAACGCGTTAATGGCATTTCTTATCTTTTTTTTATCTACCACCACGCACGATCCATCACATTGTCACAGCAGCGGTAGCAGCAGCAGCAGCAGCTAGCCAGCAGCTAATAATGTCCGTGATGACTACTCACAAGCGGCCAAATAATAATGTCCGTAAGCTTTCGTTAATGATTGCAGTGGATAGTCCCACGACAATCAATGGGATCGCCTTCAATGGCTGTGGGGGGCCCCCCCGGTTCAAAACGAAGCGGCCGTGGTAGGGCAGGTTAAAACGCTGTTGGATCGCATGCAATGGCTTCAGGCGGGCTGTTCCCATGGCCAAGCCAGGGAACGCAAGGAGCTAGGTGCAACATCTGCTTGCCGTACACCAGTAAAAGGAAGCCGCCATGGCAGCAGAGGGTGATGAAACACGACATCACGTTTGAAGATTGCTGCAGGCAGGCCATGTGAAGGAAGCCATCGCAGCCGAGTGGGATGGTTTGAAGACTGGGGCCAGACTGCTCGGAAACCCCTCGCAGCTTGGCACGGGAAAACTTAGCGGTGTATGCAACGGTGCAGCAGTGCGGGCGTGCAGTTCCGTAGAAACCGCCCAGGCCACCGACGACCTACCTCGTTATGTGTTCCTTCGGCTTGTGTTTCTGTATGCCTTTTTCTTGGCGTCCTTGTCCCTTCATTGCGCTATTCTCTGATGTTCTTCTAACTCCCGCAGCTCCTGTGTGTGTGTGGTGGTTACAGTGAGCCCCAGACTCACAAAGAGTAGAGCCAGCTGGCCAGTTGGCCGTGCATTATTACTGCACCTGAGACGATCAGGGCAAACAAGACACCCAACCAGACCAGGCAACGCAAGCTCGTGTGTATGAGTTGCGGCGGCCCGTCCGTGTTACAGTAAGCCTCAGGCTCGCGGCAACATGTGACGTACATGCCGGGTATGACCCTTCCAGAGGTCGATCAGCATTATTGTACATATACTAGTATGCTGTACCGTTTTATGTACTGCTTGTTAGTTAGTAGTGTGCCCAGCCCATGTCCCTAGCGCAGCACAGCTTTTCAGTCCCTTCAGGTCCCCGCTTAAAGGCAAATGCAGCGTCTTGTACTTTCGCACATCTTGTAGATAGTTCCTGTAGTTGTCAGATTCGAGCATAATGATATATGTTCACCGCAGTGTGCGTGACTTGCAGGCCCATTGTAAAAAATCAAACGTGTTATTATCGTTGTTGGCAAGTCAACGGATCAACGCATGTATGCCCTCCTGGAGGGATGAAGGTAAGCAATACATTAATTGGTGTTCATGACGTGCCGGGGGCGCTTTTATATGCTCCTATAAGCCGCCTGGCGCTCGCTTCCATTTGTTGATGTTGCCGCGGTGCTGGTGGTTTGGGTTTTTAGCGCCACAGTTTGGCCACAGTTTGCATCCTGTTGAGCCGCCGGGCTCGTTATTCTAACTGCTGATTGTTGGACTTCGGCCAGCATTAGCCCGCAAACTGACGGAAATGCTCTTTGAAATATTATTATGAGCCCGGCGCGTACCTAGCATGCACTTCTCCGCCTTGATGTCAGGCATGCAGCATACGAGCTACCAATCTTTGGCAATACGAAGCAACACACATCAGGTAGAAGTCCCTGAACTCAGATGTCCAAGCAGCAGGAAGGGCGCCGAGACGTATTTGCTTGATCGCGATGATAACCTGGACAGCGGGGAATCCCTAAACCATTCTGCTCTTGTCCATGCTTCCATCGCGGAAATCATTAATTTTCTAAACGAAATGGAGATTATAGCTTTTAGGACATTTAGGGTAGATGCTTCCTGACTGCTTAAACTGCCGCCGGTTTCGCGCCCGCCCTGATGTACAAACAAGTTGTACGGCTGATGGACGCACGGCTACAATATGCGTGTTGGTGCTTAAACCAGCGCCGGTAACATTTTGATATCGATAGATGGGGTAGGGATTTCCTGCCGTGTTCGGACGGTATCGGATTGGTAGCGGAAAGTGTTAGCACTGCTGATGTTTTAATCACCGGACGTGGGCCAGTGGCGTCCAGTGGGAGTCATCGCGCCTAATGTTGGAGGTTACATTTATCCATCGTCTATTGAGCGAGATAAGAATCTTTGCAGCGAGGGCACAGTTTTCATCAATTGCGCGCTCCTTTGCTGTAATACGTAATAACAGAAGTCGATTTAATTCATCGACTGGAACGGTATAAAACAAAGGCGATGGCACATTTCCTTGTCCTCTTCATTGTGCTGCTGCAAGCAGGAGGTAAGCAAGGCGATAGAGTCGGTACTGTACGATGCGCGATGAGCTGTAATTTCCAGCCCTTGCATTCCATTCTTGCGCAATCCAAAAGCTTGCAAAGAATATGGTCATCAGTATGGTCTTCTGGTTGCTGCTAAATGATAAAGCCCCCCTCTCAAACTCCGATCCACAGCGGCATTTGCCAGCGGCGAATCCAAGAAAATCACCATCACGGGTACTCCCTCCGAAGGCTTTCACCCGAAAGGCGAGGAGGGCACGATGGCAAGCGTGGGCCTTCTAGCTACGACCGTTGGGACTAATAAGCTAGTGTTGCAACTACCGCCACCGCCGCCGCCGCCACCGCCACCACCACCACCACCACTAAAAGAGAGGAGGTACTTCATTGCTCCGTTCATCCCGTGTTTCACCGACCGCCGCTCACCGCCCCCCGAAAGCAAACCCGGGGCACTGCCCACTCCAGCCTTACCTTCAGGATCTTTTGGCTCTGCTGCGCAACGGCCGGCAAACAGCCTGAATGGAAACATTGACAGTTCCCCCGGCTTCGCGGCTAGGGACACACTCGCAGCCACAGATGCCTCTCCTCCATCCCTGCGCAAGACCTCAACCAAGCCGGTCTCGCAGAAGCCGCCACCTCCAAGCCGCAAGGTGCGGTCGCCAACCCCGCCGCCCGCACCTGCCAGCCCCCTTCCGCCCAGCCCCATGCCACCAGCAAGGCTCGGCAGTGGCTCCAGTCCAGCAAGATACCGACAGAGCCAGGACGTCCCGCCATCGCCCCAGCCACACCCTAAAGCTCGTTCGGCAACAAAGGCGCCCCTGGCCATGGTAAGTACGACGACGTACGACATCCATTGAGTGAAACCAAGTGCATAACCCTTTGTGCGGCAAATTCCTGGGTTGCAAATTCCTGGATATGGCGCCTCCATTTGTGTGTGTGTGTGTGTTACATGGTTGGGGGTGCGTGACCCCATACCTGTAAGACTACCCATACGAGCCGAAGGCCCAAGGGCAATACTACAACGCCTAAAAGCCACGGAGGAAAGGAAAACACCGCACATCAGCCCAGACTAGCGTCCAAAGGGGGTAATTGAGTTTCGGTGAGCCCACATACGTTCCAACACCCTCGCCAGACGTGCGGGTTCCCATTGCATGGTCTCCAACATGCTCTGTTGATGATCGAATCCCTCTTCAGCACGAATATCATTATAGGCTGGGCATTCCAATAACACGTGTTTTTCATCCTCAATTCGGCCATTAGTACCACAACAGTGGCAAAACATTTATCATATTTCAGGATTGACGATGCAAGTCTTCATATTTCCTCGTCTTTCTGCTTTTGCCTGTCTGTTTGTCTGCCATGCGATTTATGTGTTTGGGCCCTTTACCTCTTCACCTGGCTGTTTACATGTCTGTTTGTGTTTACCTATGCGTGTGTACGTGCACGTGTCTTGCGTTTCATCATGTATTAGCAGTCCTTTCCTCGCCTCGCCCTCTCTATGTAATCCACGCCTCAAACATCTCACGCCAATCTGCAGGCCGCACGCCGAACACTCCGATTGCCTGGCCTATCCAAGTAATACGCGCTTTTCCTACCACGTAGTGTCTCTGCTTGGATTGCTACCGCGTTCTCTTCCCGGAGGTTTGTCGCCGCTGTGTCTATCTCCCTGCTATGACAGCGTTTCGAGGGTCGTGCTTTGTCCTTTGAGGGCTTCTATAAGCGAGTCTAGAAGATCTTCTGCACATTGCGACGACTCGCTATTATTCGCCCGTGTATAAGGGCCTGGTGGTACGTTGTGTCTGAGCAGCGGATCACTATAAAGATCCAAAGTTAATTAACTTTGAGGTTGTTGTAGCTAAGGCTGGGATGGAATATGGATAAATAGGGGGGGGGGGCCGGAGCACCTCAATAATTCCAACCGTGCCCTAAATTCCAACGCATCAAATTTCTACCTGCTGGCCCGTGACTAGCCCTCTTTGGAGCAAGCTAACCTCTTTTTGCAGCAGCATTGTTTCCTAAACTACTTAGCCAACGTGAGCCATTATCACATCTCGGCTCCTCTCGGTTATGGTGGGTGGGGTTTTAGGGTTTTCCTCCGCGGTACGGAGATAGCAGTCGTGAAAGGAAGGTGTGCTTTCAAAAGCATGGATAGCAGATTGGTTCAATTGCAAGTGAGACCGAATCTGCGGCAAATGCCAAGCAAGGGGCTGGTGTTTTGGCGGGTACATGGAGCAAGCAAGGAAATGGCTTTGGCTCTCCAATGATAGTCATTTACTCCGGTTTACTCATTATTCCTCGAGTTGTTCACTTTCTGTGACATTTTATTTTCAGTATTGTAGGTATGGCGTGTGAAATGGTTGCGGGTACGGCTTCTTGCCGCGTGCATTCATTCAACAGCAGTAGGATGGCATTCGTTGCGGCGGCTGTATGTAGACAGGGTTACGGTTTTCGAACGGGCGACTGTACACATCCCAAATTTCTGCATAACCTTGCATTATGTATGGCAAGCGCTCTTAAACGGTATCGTTGTCGATTCCTTTACTCATACCTTTGTTGTACACCTTACCTACGGCTTTGGAGCGAGAGGACGGCTGGGTACGAGGACGCCTGCTGCCATCGGTAAGTTATGTTAGAAAAACTATAAAACTTTATTTTGGTTAACATGTAATGTGTGGACTGGACGAATGCGGAAGCCGGTTGGGGTTTATTAAACTGCTGTCCTTGAGGGCATGAGGCGTCCGGTGGGCGACCCCTGTTGTGGAGGTACTTTTCCTTAAAGTTATGTGGCAGCTTTTTTATTTGTACGGCAGGCTGGGATTTATGTCGCAGGTTGGTCGAAGGTTTGTCGCAGGTTGGTCATAAGCAGTAATAGAGTTGATCGCGTTGGTTAAAAAACGTTCGTGTCGGTGCATGCGGGGATGAGGCCCTTTATTCGTAAGCACGGTGAGCATTTCCCAGAAAATAGGGCAGCAGCGGTAAGTCGACAGATGCATTATGACATGCAGCAGGGGGCGGCCGCTTCTTGGACAATGCGTGAGCGAGGGAGAGTAGCAAGTAGTACGGGGCTGGAGGGATAGCTTCCAGTTGCATGGGCTGGCTTGTGATGAAATTACAAGGGCGGCATGGGGCTCAAGGCAGAAATACAGTGCATGGTCGCGGCAACCAGCCGCCAGTGGCTGGTTGTGTGATGCTTTGGTGGTATGACATACAGCATGCGTTGGCACCCCGCGCTCCCAGCAGGTCATGGAGTAGTACTGTGCGCCCATAGTGCGTCATTTAGCGCCTCATGCTTATTACTTTGGGTTATTGCGCGAGGTCAGGGATCCTGTTTTCCAAGTGAACGGAACCCTATCAACAGAGTAGGCGACCTAATACATCGTAGGTTTGCGCAGGTCGTACAGCAGGTGTGATGAGTCGTCATCGGGGGGCAACGTGCGTGCGTGTGCATTCGCGTACCAATATATCCAAATCTTCAGCAACGGCAACAGGAGCAACAGATTTGGGTTGCCAGGTTGCTTGCTTGTATGTAGGTGTATGTGTTTGTCTGTTTGTCCTCTTGTGCGGAACGAGCCTTTGGCTCCCTGGCAGAGACTATCCGAGCACTTCGAACTCGTTTAACTAAATGGTTTCACTGGCAGCAGGCCAAGGGAGATGAACCAATGTGTCGTATACGGTTGTAAGCACGGTGTCGTGTACGGCTGTAAGCACGGGAACGAACGCGAAACACATATCAATAGAGATGACCATCTCTGTTGATTCATTCACGCATGGATAGGTGGAACTTACTACAACAAAGCTGCCACAACCCCTGATGTGATAAATGAAAGAATGCTGCTGGGCGAGCCACGAGCTATCGTGCGTATTGGGGTCACATAGAGCTGGTATGTCGATATGGTGCATGTATGCGCTTATATCTTGGCAGCATCAAGCGGTATAGCATCAAGCACTGGCTTCTGTCCACTTACGTATCCACCCCTGCCTGCCATACCTGCACTTGCCCTGAACAGCAGCAGCCCGCCAGTCTGCCTGCTAGACAGCTACAACTCTACACACCATCGGACTGTAGTAGCTGGTACATAGTAGCTGGTACATAGTAGCTGGTACATAGTAGCTGGTACACACATAATAAAAACACGTCTACAAATGCACGCTAAGGGGCTCCACCAGCATCTCGAGAGGCCTTTCACAGCCAGCTACTACACGGACGCGGTCAGGCAAGAGGAAGCACGGGCGTCCCCACCTGTTATATCACGACTTTTTCAGGAAAGAACCGAACGGTGGATGCGGATCCCGTGATATGCCCAGACGGCATACATCTGTAGGATGCAGTGGTTGCGGCATCGCAACCTGCAGGAATCCACCTTCAGAGGAGCATTGCAGCATTAAAGTCCATACCCTCCTGGCCAACGCGGCTTATTAGGGCCAGTGATTTCCGTTTTGAATGAACCATGTAGGAAAGGAAACGTGCCTGAGGGGCCGAAATGACCTATCAAAGAGCCTGTTCGTGCTTCAAGGGGGAGAGAACATGCGCTGATGGAACAGCGGGTTCACGTGTGCGGCATCGCAACCATAAGGTGAGCATGCATGCGTGTGCTGGGCTATATCCCTAGCTAAGTAGCTAGGTAGCTGGGTAGCTAGGTAATTTGCATGCAAGCGTGTGTATGCGCCCTGCATGGAAGCCATGCACCTTCATGACAAATGCACCACAGCAGTTTTATTTGCGGTGCTTTGTGGGGGAGTGCTGTGCTGCACTGCGCACGCACGCATTGGAGATACTGTTTCGCATAGAAGATATGTATTAGGTATGTTGGGTCCTCCTCTCCATGCCGTGAATTGCCGTGTCGTCATAGATGCGGCAGACGAATCCCTGTTGGGAAGTGATCAACACTCGGGTTTGGGTGGAATGAATGTGGCCAAGGAGTTGCGTGAGCAGGGGGCATTTCCTCTACCAATCCCGAAACTCGCCGCTAGACAGTTAGCTTGTCAAGGTACGGGTGCTGGACCACCGACCAAACGGAGTCTGCTCTGTGAGGCTCCTAGCGCTTTCCTTGCCAAAAATTTTCGCTTCTATTTTGTCCGCGCATGCGTGTATACTACTTTCCTTGCTTGCGCACTTCGTTTGACCAACCGCCGCCATCGCTAACGCTCGCTAATCCGCTTTTATCTTTAGAGCGCGCTGAAACCTGTTCAGCGCCCGGATATCATTATTGACGATTCGTTCAGGACGCCATGCATGCTCGAAAGAACATTCAAGGGTGGGTTCCCAATTATTCAAGGTTACTTGTAACGTTTTGAGATGGAACAAGCATTGAACATCCATAGTGTGCGCACGTGTCGATTGGAAGGCCGGCAGAACATGAAGGTGAAGCTCGTCCCGATCGATTCTATCTTATGGACCCGTGTATCTTATGGTGGCGTGTATAATGTATTAAATCACCTCAATTTAACTATCCATTGTAAAACTTTATATAGCCGTGCACATGAATGCGGCAGTTAATCAACCGCTGAAGCTTCAGTACACTCATCACGTCACGCGGTACGAGACACCGTGCGCATATGGATAAATTCTCTCATCCATGTTATATCATTGAAGAAGTATTATATCACAGGCCATATACGTGCGAGGTTGGCCTTTTGGTGATACTTTGAAGTACATAGGTGACTTGTCAACATAAATTCCAACCTGTGCCATGCACAATTCAAATCAAAACATCTTAGGTTGTTAATCCGAAACTCAGGGAGCGCGAGGAATAGATCCGACTTGTCCAGCCACGACCTTCGGCCCTTCCGTTGCGCTACCATCAACCGGCTTATTCCCAACGGCGCAGCGCATCTGTATTGACGCGCCAGCAAAATATAATATCTCCAAATGAAGCAATACTCGGCGCTAGTAGCCTTGGTACTGTTCCGAGCCGCAGCAGGTAGGCCTGACGTCACCAGGATAGCTTTTTCGAGGCACGTCCATCTTCGTATGTTGCTAGTGCGTCGTGCATTTTGTAACCAGCTTGTACAAGTGAGCTCATCAGTAGTTGCATCTCTATGGTGAGGGTGTTGGTTTCGCTGTTTCGCCAAGCATGAAACAGGCAGTGTATGGTCCATACTCTATGTGCGCCATAGTAGTAGTATATGCCAAGAAAATTCCGCCAGAGTTAAGCGCATACGCATGCATTTGCTTACCACTGCATAAATGAAGTTGACCTCTTCCCGTCCTCTTCCTCCTTTCTGGCGCATTTCATTTTGATGATCGACAGTGGTGCTGGCCAGCCAGTACTCAATAAATGTTGTTGCTACATCTTCCGACACCGATTCGGTCTTTAAAACAACAAGCAAGGATACCACGGTGGCACCTGCTGACGTGGACGCCATCGAGCGACGCACAATGACATCCCTGTCGTCGCCACCCCCACCACCACCGCCGCCGCCGCCCCCACCTGCATCATCTAATATTATTCGAAATCCACTTGGAACACTCATTTTTTGCTTTTACCGTTTCCCGTCGTTTCCGAACGTACCAGCGGCGCCTTCTCCGCCTGCGAACCCACCGTATGTCGGTAATGATGTCTTAATCGGCAAGGATGCTGCTATGCTGACCTCATCTACAGGAAAAGACGCGTCGACAAATATCCCACTGGCATCATCACTTCCATCCCCAACTGCGTCTCCCTCGCCTAGTCACCGTCCCGCTACTCGTAAGCCTTCAACGCCACCAAGGAAGCCGGCTATTCCCCCACGTATAATTCGGCTGCCTGCGCCAACCCCTTCTCCAAAACCACCATCACCAGTTCGCCGCCCGCCCAGTCCCAAGCCTCTAAGGCCGAGCCCTCGCCCACCAACGCCACCACCACCTGCCCGCCGGCAACCACCTCCAACACCGGCGGTACAGCCTACCCGGCTACAGCCCAACACCCCAACAGTCACAGCCACAGTCACATCCCACAGCAACAGGGTAAGGTCGAAGAGTGTAGTATCCTGGGTATCACGGGCTCTGTCATCCGCCGATCGGTTCTTTTCTGTAAAAGACGTGAAAATGCAACAAAGAGGATGGATGAAAACCTTGTAGCATGATGGTATAGCCTGGTGCGTGTGTGTAAGGCACCGTGCCTGACTGTAAGTATACATGCTTCTATACATGCTATTTATTGAGACCACGTGACACACAGTTGGCTCATCCTCATCCTCATCCTCATCCTCATCCTCATCCTCATCCTCATCCTCATCCTCATCCTCATCCTCATCCTCATCCTCATCCTCATCCTCATCCTCATCCTCATCCTCATCCTCATCCTCATCCTCATCCTCATCCTCATCCTCATCCTCATCCTCATCCTCATCCTCATCCTCATCCTCATCCTCATCCTCATCCTCATCCTCATCCTCATCCTCATCCTCATCCTCATCCTCATCCTCATCCTCATCCTCATCCTCATCCTCATCCTCATCCTCATCCTCATCCTCATCCTCATCCTCATCCTCATCCTCATCCTCATCCTTGCTCGCACCGCAGGCTAACCCGCGAAGGCTGCTGCGTTAAGCAGCTCAGCCGGGCAAGTGATGATGTCGGGACCTTGAGCGTGGTTGCTTGCAGCCTCCGGGTGCATTTGGGGTATGCATGCGGGCTTATGGAATGGCGCGTATGTGGAAAGCAGATGTGTACATATACGAATGCAGGATGGAAGGGTGTCCCACGTGGCTTTCACGTTTGGATGTGTTCATAACAAACATACGTACATACATGCACACACGTGCTCGCTCTTGCAGGGGCCGCTGCCCAGCCATTAGTTGCCTAGATCCCTGGCGAGTATCTAGCTTTTCCAATATGTATCTGTGCATAGCAGGTAGCCAGCTGTGAGAAGAGCACACCGTGCTTCTGTGCCTGATTCATTAACCAGGTCGGAGCCATAGCCCCGGGGTCGTCGGGGTGCCGGGAATTGAAAAGGGCCGTCGTCCTGTATGTATGTGTTCCTTGTCGTCCAAGGCTTGCAGGTTTGGAGGGTGTGGTAATTCGGTGCAGGCGTGTTTAGCAAATGCGTGCGATTGGTTGAACCACCTATCGGCGGCTGACTGCTGCACGGGGCATTCTGTTAGGCGCGTGGTAAAAACGAACTAGCGATCGATCGATGTCACGTCATCGTCTCGTGTTGGTACAATTTGCTCGTGATTGATCATGAACATGGCAGAGCGCGAGTAGTAGATGAAAGGAGCTTATATCGTGATGGGCTTATTGTGCATAGCAAATAAAAATAAAAGGTGCAATCCACTTGCTTCGGTGCCTTCTGCTGTCAGATGCTGATGGATGCCTCCAGCAGGTTCCAGCAGCAGCAGCGTTGCGCCCGAACGATTAATGTGAGCTTTTTCAAGCAGGCTTTCTATAAAATTTAATTTTTGAGTAAAGGATGTACAGCCTGTTGCATGTACAGATTCCGTTGGGCAACCCCACCTGCCAAGGAAAAAACCGCTCGCATCTCGAGGCGTGCGATGTCTATATATACGCATGCGTAAATATGTATATATGCCATACCGTGCTGTGTGGGTCGCGACATGTCCGGCCTTCCGTAAATATTGTCTGTTTTCTTGTGATCGTTGCTGTATGTTGCTGCGGACGTTGTGATGTTTGCGAGTTGTTTGATGTCGTTAGTTCTCTATCTAATGTTTTCTTTGGCGCGGCTACGTGCGCGTTACTAATCCGAACCGGAGTATATCGTCGGGGCGCAGAGTCCTTGAAGCCTATTTTGCATGGCTGCTTCACAGCAGAACACAGCACAGGAGCAATTTTCCACGTTTCCATTCCCATTTTCAAATTGGCGGTGTGTGTTTTAGAATACCGTCTATCGCCAACCGTCCATGCAACACCCCTGGAGCTCCAAGGTTGCCTTGAGGCACGTTATCCTGGGCGGGAAGGGAAGCGGAGGCGTCCGGGGCCTTGACTGATCCATGCACATATGGCGCACCCGGGCCCACGCTGCGGCTTCGTTCCAGCCCTAGCGAGCGAGCCAGCGATGCATGCATGCCCTGTACATACCATACAGGAGCCTCTCGCGCACATTCTCTCGTCCATTGCCTCGCTTGATTCTTAGTTGCTTGGTGGTCAATATCCATGGCTGAATTAAATGCCTTCTGGCTGGCAAGCTTTCATGGCTTGTACGCATGCGTACGACGTACACCATACGTACACCTAGTAGGTCTGTATTATGTCTGTCAGTGACAACGGCGTTATGTACGTAGCTGTGGGTGCATGCATCTGCTCGGTGCACACTGCCGTGAGCATGGTAGAAGCAAGGAAGGAAAAGTGACTGCTGCATATCTATATCTATATCTATATCTACTGCATATCTAATATATATTTATGCTGCTTGTGTTACATGTTTCTTGTCATGTCCGCCTTGACGTGCTCATAGTTCCGAAGGGCTCGGACATTTTTGGCGCCGAAAAGGCTTGCCCACCTTCTTTGACTCTCATGAAATAAGAGGCCCAAACGGCACGTCCATGCATGCATGCATGCATGCACGCTTCCAACTGACTACTGCGGCGCTTCCGTCCGGTCGATTGCTGCGTGGCAATGCGTGGCAGGGTTAGTGTCCCAACTGTCGCGTCATAGAACCGTAGCAGCCTCGATGAAGGGTTGATATGCGTACGAGAGAGACTGCGGCTGTTGAGATAAAGGCGACAAGCATCTGCGGCTGGCGCGCAATGACCAATTGTTAAGCTACGTGTCTGTATGTATGTACGTACGCGCGTCTATGAGAGGCCGCTGCGTCTACACTACACCGCAGTGACTGCATGCAAAGGGGCTGCAAACAGCACATGACACGTGACGTGACATTTCCATGCGGAATGTAAGCTGCAGCTGGCAAACAAAGGCTGTGTGTTGTCGTTGTTGAGCCAAGTCACCGATGGATGAGGAGATGCAGCCGGTGGTTTGGGGAGCCGTCAAGTTGCGTGCCGTTTGCGCCCTTTGGTGTCGTACGGACATCTAAGGTCGACTCGAGGATATTTGGAGTAGTTTGCGTAAACACTATTGCCTTGCGAACCTAATCATGTTGTCTCTCATCTTGTTTTATTAATCCCAAATTTCCACAATCAATAATGATCTGGGTTATACGATACCCTACCTGTCTGCCGGCGCTGGGAAGCGTGGCTGCGGATTATTGAAGTGGAACCTTTGTTATTAATGGAAATACGTGTTTGCTTTGCGTGGTCACCATGTTTTCGTCGCCACACAAATAGTGTCAGGTTAACTGTTGGCACGTATTCCCCCTTATTCACACTTCCTGGTGGGCCAAAGGCCATGTAAGCTGGAAAGGGGTTGCAGTGCCGCCGGGTGACAGCTGATTTTTGACTTACCCGGGCTTCAATTTGCGATGTACAGACAGTATTAAACTAGGTTATGTCTTAGAGACAATTTTTTGCCTAAGCAAATGGCAAACGCTTAAGCGAATGTGCACGAATGGTGTACGTTTGCTGGTACGTAACTATCCACATATGTATTTATTAGCGCTCGTTATCCACTGTGACAAGAATGGTTGAGTGGTTAATTCGCAGTAGCCGTCATGAAGGCCAATACCGCTGCGGCCGAGACATGGCGGCCGAGGCATGGCGGCCGAGGCATGGCGGCCGAGACATGGCGGCCGAGGCATGGCGGCCGAGGCATGGCGGCCGAGGCATGGCGGCGCGACGGCGTGCTGTCCATACAACTGTATGTATGTAACCAACCGTGTATGCTTTCCTGGGAAGTCATTATGTGAAGTTAGGTTCTAGGCAACATTTACAAGTTAACTTCCAAAGGGCTTTTGCAGCCGCGATCGACTGCCTGGTCGCAATGGTCGAAGCACTCACTTCCGCTTGTCTACTAGTATTCCGCGAAGTATTCCAGTGTCCTAATATCATTTCAGGGCTGGCAAGTTAAAGGCCTATTGGCAGCATGATAGCTGTGTCCTGCTGGTCCTTGCTTGCACGGCTTACTGTAGAATGTCAACCTAAGCACAGATAATATGCATAAATGTGATGCTCATATGAAGATTAAATTTCAGGATTGAGCCTGATAGCTGCAGTGTAGGCTGCGCGTGTAACAATCTCTAGCTTCCGGTCTGCTAATATCCTGCCCTTGATTCTTAAGAAATACATTTTTATGTTCTGATCTGTCATTTTTGTGGGCAGCATTTTCGCTCTTGAGTGAATGTATCATATCGCCCGCCTTTCACTGCGAACTACCAGTAGGCCGGCAGGCCCATTGATATTTTTATACCAGTTGATAACATACAAAAGTGAATTTTGTATTATGAAAATGTAAGATGTACTTAATAACCGATGGCCTGTTGGCAGCGCCTACGGCCTGCCTTCCAGGCTGCAAGAAGCTTTGGCAAGCACCAAGGCTAGAGTCTTAAATAACCACTTACTTAGAAAGAGGCAAAAGGAGGAACATATGCGGCGGTGTTAGAATCTTACGGTGAGTACTAACTTATATTCCCTGCGCTAGCAGCTTCACTGTAACTCCAATGGTTGCTAGTTACCTGCGGGATTCATCGGGAACCCTCTGATTGGAAGGGCTCCATGATCTAACAGGAATGCCTTATTTTAAACTTCAGGTGGCGTTGAGTAAGAAGGTTCGACATGACTGCTCACGGACCTGCGCCGGATTTGCTCTGCGTACACGGCCTCTGACAGAAAAATCATAACTGTGCCATCGTCCCGAGCCTGAGCCAGGGCCGGGGCTCTGGCAGTCCGCTACTTTTCCAGGCCTTGTAAGCCGGCGCGCGCAGTACAAAAAAGCCTTAGTTGGCAAGCACTTCAGGAATTGAGGCCTCCGTGATCCTTTGTGGTCTACTTGACCAGTTCATTGCTCGCTGAGGACCGAGCTTACCGTACAAAGACATTTCCTCGTACGGCCAAGGACATCCCAGGTCTCCCCTGATTCAATCGTACATCGCATATCGTAATGCTCTTGACATTCCTTTTTGCCTGGTGCAAAGGATTGCCGCTGGGTGTAGCAAGGCCGGTCACCAGGTAAGCCTAGCTGCGCCGCCCTGCTACGTATAGGTAGGCCTAGCAGCCTTACCTACCCATCCGAATCACGCCATGCGTACCCGTAGCCCACTAGCCGCCAATTGTAGATAACTTTATTGTGCTTTGTTCTCTATGTGCATGTTGTGTGTTTGCCGTTAAACGTGAGTCGTGTACATCGTCTTTCAGCTCAGGGCGAGGCCGCCAGCCGAGCTCGAGTTGAGGGTAGGGTAGGGTGTGTAGATCTTGTGCTGCGGCTCAACGCAGCAGCACCTACCTTGCAGCATAGCCCGCAGAGGCGCCCCACATATCTGACACAGTGCCAGTCAAACTCCGCTAATGTAGCTACTGCGTGTCCGCCAGTGCAAGGAAGTACAAAAGAACGGCCGGATATTATGTTTTATGGTAATTCGTCTGTAGCGCACCTGTTGCGTGTGCTTCGGAGATGGTTGGCGCGCCATAACAGTTTCCGTCCGTACCTCCCATACTAAGGCCTGGCGCAATACATAAGAGCCTGTGTCAGTCCTGTTAGCAGTAGTGGATAAGTGGAGTTTGAAAGCCCTAACCATTGGGATAAGCTAGAGGAATACCGCGCCAACTCGTCAGCGCAGCAAAGGCCGTGGAATTTGCGCTACCTCCATTTATGCAGCTTTAACCTGGATAAATTACGCTTCACAATGCTATAGGATTAACATGAGGCGTCTAGCATTTGTACTCTTCCTTATCTTACAAGTCGGAGGTACGCAACGCGGTAGCTCCCTTATCCTTTAATTCTTTGCAACCATGGTAACCTTGTTTTACAAGTGAACAGCTTCAAACGTCATAAAAGGCACAATTTTGGTGCGCACCGAGTGGTTTTACATAATGCGAATGAAAGGACTTCAGCTTCCTTCACCAATTTGCAGCATCACAGCATGACATACAATTTAACCAGCTCACTTCATGTTTATTGCCAAACGCTTCTTCCTGTCCGCCCGCCTGTCTATGCCCTTGCATGTCACATCGTCATCCATTGTCGACAACGGAATAACAGCTGGACTTGCCCGGAATGTTAACACCGTAGAGTTTTCAGCTGAAGGCGGTGCATCTTCACGCAACCAAGGGCTGGGATCAGCTTGGACCCGCTTGCTGGCCCGCCGCAATGCCGCTACCACACAAGTCAACCCCAATGGAACGACCCGAAGTCCCAGCCCCGACAACGAACCCCCATCCTCGGAAACAACCAACTCCGTAGTCATTGTGACCATTCCCAGCCCACCGCCTCGGCCACCGAGCTCGCCAGGCCCTGCAGGCCCGGCCGAACCCCCACCCTACTGGCCCGCGCCCGGTGTTCCCCCTGACATGCCGGGGGGTCCACCGCCTCCCCCTCGAATCCGAAATCCCCCAAGGAAATTTCCACCGTTGGAGCAAAGACCACCACCGCCCCTTAAACCGAGCAATCCACCACCGCTGAAGCCACCGCCGCTTGAGCCCAGCCCTCCACCGCCTGACTTTCCATCGGTGCCACGACACCCACCCAGCCCGCCGCCACCCAAGCCGCCGCCACCCAGCCCGCCGCCGCCCAGCCCGCCACCACCCAGTCCACCACCACCCCAACCGCCGCCACCAAGCCCACCACCTCCGAAACCTCCACCACCAAGCCCTCGTCCCCCGAGCCCTCGCCCTCCGAAGCCCCCCCGGCCCTCGCCACCACCCTCACCATCTCCACCATCACCGCTCAGCCCTCCACCGCCCCCTCCACCTCCACCGCCCCCACCTCCATCGCCCCGCCCGCCATCTCCCAGCCCGCCACCACCAAGTCCCCGTCCTCCAAAGCCAAGCCCCAACCCACCCCAGCCCCCACCTCCTAATCCACCGTCACCAAGCCCTCCAC